TCTATTGGGTAACCCAACACCATCCTGCCCACGCTGCCAATTGGATTTAACTTTAAAACACATATTCTTCGAGTGCACTTCTCTTGAAGGAACTAGACGCCGGTACTTCAAACACAACTGGGTCGAACTACTTAGTAATCCCACAAAGGACAACATAAATTCCATCGTCAGTTTTATCAAAGCCATCCAAGTACCTATATAACAGCCGTCTCTGTAAAATTCTCTCATATATTTTCTTTTTTCTTTTTCTAAAACTCTGTTACAGTTAAGTAGAGCTGACAGCCTTGGCAGCTAATACTCAACATTTCTATTAACTTGTTAATTTATTTAATATTGTTAATAAATAATAATAATAATAATATTCACACTTCAACTTACATACATATTTAAGCCTTTACACACTTTACTTTCTTGATATTTTAAAACAATTTGTTTCGCTCCGACACAAGTTTCTATTCGTACAAAATTTCCGAGAAATACATAAAATGACAGCTACGTCGGATTCAGGCATACCAACATTACGAATTTTGAAGATAGGCTGCGAATTACGAAATTACGATACGACAACGCGGATTTCAGCATACCAATTTTGCGATTCGTAACAAAAACGAGTCTACGACGGATTACAGCATAGGGTGATAGTATTAAACACACCTATGCTGTAATCCGTCGTAGATACGATTTTACTGATAGTTACGATCGGATTACAGCATACCAATTTTCGAATTTTCGGAACGGAGCTACGAATTCGTAACTACGAACACTCGGATTACAGCATAGAGATTAAAGTTTTTTTTTTTACTTGAGAAAGCAACGACACCGTATATTAGACAAAGCAACACAAACATATACGCCAAAAACTCTTGACACCAGTTAAAATTGTTTCAGCTTGCATTAATAGGTATTTTTACTTGAATGTAACTTAGGGATGAAGTAATATCGTTTAATAATTTCGTGCGAGAAGCCATTTGCAACTCGGCGTAAATGCTTCAATATAAACAATGAAAGGAATATGTTGCCACATGGGCCAAGCAATATAAAAAATGTAAATATAATAAATAATAATAATAATAATAATAATAAATAATAAACCTTTTGCAGAGAACACCTTTCTGCGTAGGCGGCCTTCGGCCGCGCTTAGGGATTATAACCTTCACTACGCAGAATTCGCCTTTCTGTGTTACCAAAACAAAAGCAGTAAATGCTTCTGTAGTATACGACGAGGCACCCTGTAATGACAATATCTGAAGCAACCCTAAAAGAAAACAGGATATGACGTTGACAGGTGCGCACGTGCATCAGACGAGACTAAGCGACAAAAGAATAAAGAGCGCAATTTTCACACTGCATATTTCTCGTGTTTTATTATATTTAATCTTCAGTCGAAAACGTAACATTTTGGCGACGAGGATAAAAGATGGCGTTGAATGAAAGTATGATGGCAAACGTAAACCTGATGGGCGCACAATCTTTCGGCAAGCTGGAACCGTTCCAACCAACCATGGCGTGGAATAACTATAAAGAACGAATGGAGTTTTACTTCGAAGCCAATGGAATAGCTAACGATACGTCGATGAGGGCGATTTTCTTATCATGCGTCGGGGAAGCAACTTACGAAATAATCCGCCATTAACTCCAAAAGACGTATCGTCTCATGAAATCGTTGAAAAACTCGACAAACACTTTCATCCAAAACCAAATGAGATTGTGCAGCGGTTTGCGTTCCATAAGCGGCACCAGAATAGTGGGGAGACAATAGCTGATTTCGTAAAAGACTTGCGTAAACTGTCGGAACATTGTGGCTTCATGGAACTGGATAATATGTTGCGGGATCAAATTGTTTGCGGAGTGACAGATGAAGCGCTGCAAAAACGTCTTTTTAGCGAACCAAGATTAGACTTTAAACGTGCGTACGAGATAGCAATCGCCCATGAAGCGGCTTACCGCAATGTAAGGGACGTGCGCGGCAATGGTAATGACGTTTTGGCGGTGTCAATGAAGAATAAACCCAGGAAAGTAGAAAAGTTGGAGTGTTTCCGTTGAGAGGGCAGCCATTTTGCGAACAAGTGTCATTTTAAAGATAAGAAATGCAAATTTTGTCAGATAAAAGGACACTCTATGAAAGCGTGTTTTAAAAAGAGAGCACATGACCGCAAGAGACTTGCAGTCCACGCATTAGATGGAGGGGCGGAGGACACAGGGCCAGCGGCAGAAGAAAATAATTACTTTTATGAACTCAATACAGTTCAAGCCACGTCCACAAAAAAGATTCTAACGGGGATGTACCTCAACGGTGTGTTAGAATCATTTGAAGTAGACTCCGGTGCGGCGTTTACGGTTATCTCGGAGACAACGTGGAACCGCATAAACCTGGGTAATCGCGACCTCAGGCCATCCAATATCATGCTGCAAACGTGGTCGAAAGAAAAACTCAATGTTTTGGGATCAGCTCGGGTGAATGTCGAATACAATAAGCAAAAGTACGTATTATCCGTTTGGTCATTGCAGGTGGCGGCAGGTGTTTGCTGGGTAGAGATTGGTTTAACGCGTTAGGGATTACGGTGCACGGAGTATTGACAGTCGATGTTCCAACGGATCTCACCATGTTAGAGAAGAAATATAACTCGGTGTTCAACGAACATTTGGGCGCGCATAATGGCCCTGCCATATCATTAGAAATCGTACAAGGAGCTCAGCCGATTTTTCGTAAATACAGGCCGTGTCCTATCGCTTGGAAACCAGCCGTAGAAAGAGAAATTGAAAAGTTAGTGGCGCAGAAAGTGTTGGAGCCAACGCTTTTTTCACACTGGGCAACGCCAATTGTACCAGTCATTAAAAAAAAGATGGTACTATGAGGATTTGTGGGGACTATCGCAGTACTGTAACGCCGTGATTAAGCCAAAAACATATCCATTACCACTTTTTTCTGAGGTAAAGGCGGAAATCGCGGGCGCGAAATTATTTACGAAATTGGACCTGCAGCAGGCCTACCAGCAGCTAGACGTAGATGACTTTGCATCACCCGGACTTTTCCAAAAATACATGGATAATCTCCTAGCCGGAGTGAAAGGTGTCAAGGCATACCTCGACGATATTATTATTTCCGGAAAAGATGAGAATGATCATTTTCGTAATTTAGAGGTAGTACTCAAGAAGCTAGAAGCAGCCAATTTAACTGTGAATAAGGCAAAATGCTCATTTGCTCGACAAAAAATTGATTTCCTGGTATATAATATTAGCCATAAAGGAATTTCGCCAAATGAAGAAAAGGTAATAGCAATAAAACAAGCACCGACGCCCAAAAATAAGGAAATGTTGCAATCCTTTTTTGGTCTCCTGAATTTTTATAACGCCTTCCTACCTATGAAATCGAGCCTGGCAGAAAATCTGCACCGCTTATTGGATAAGGACTCTAAATGGTCTTGGACTAAGGAGCACCAAAGAAGTTTCGAAAAACTAAAGGCGCTTATAAATTCGGATTCCCTATTAGTACATTATGACGTAACGAAGCCGTTAGTTCTGTCATGTGATGCTTCACCCTATGGTTTAGGGGCGGTTTTAGCCCATCGGTCGGAAGGAATGGAACGACCGATCGCCTTCGCTTCGCGGACTCTGGGAGTGCATGAGCGAAACTACGCGCAGATAGACAGAGAAGCACTGGCCATAATATTTGGGGTAAAACATTTCCACCAGTATATCGCGGGCAGAGAGGTTATTATCGTTACGGACCATAAGCCATTATTGGGCATTTTCAACAGAAAGAAACAAATTCCACAAATGCTTTCACCCCGAATGCTACGTTGGTGTCTGTTGTTGGCTGCATATGACTATCAGTTGGAGTACAGACCAGGGCAGAAGCATGCTAACGCTGACTGCCTTAGCCGGTTACCGTTGAGTGCAAACATAGACGCGGACATGTCAGGTCCTGCTGATGTGCTCATGTTGGAATTGCGGAATAATACACCAATAAAAGCGGAACAAATCGCTGAAGCGACTTCAAGGGATCCAATAATGTCACGAGTTTTGCGATGGCTACTGCACGGTTGGCCACAAGAAGGATACATATCTGAAGACATACGTCCTTTTATTCGTAGACGGTCCGAGCTATCAACCCATAAGGGATGTTTGTTGTGGGGCAGTAGAGTGATCATACCCCCTAAATATCGAAATCAGATATTAGAACTGTTGCATGGACATCATCCAGGTATATGTGCGATGAAAGCCTACGCTCGAAGTTACGTGTGGTGGCCCGAGCTAGACAAACAAATAGAAATGAAAGTTGCACAATGTGAACAACGTCAGATTATCGGTGAAAACCCTCCGGCAGCTCCGAGGCAACACATCCCTAGTACAGATCAACCCTGGGAAACGCTGCATATCGACTTTGCTGGACCCTTTCAGGGAAACACATTTCTGGTAGTAGTAGATGCAATGTCCAAATGGCTCGAAGTCAAAATCGTAAGTAACATGTCGTCCATGGAAGTAAAACACAAGCTGCGGGAAATTATAGCAACGCACGGCTTACCGAAACGAATCATTTCGGACAACGGCACGGCATTTAGCTCTGCCGAATTGCGAGATTTTTACTCGGAAAACGGTATTAAATTCCATACTTCGGCTCCATATCACCCATCCAGTAATGGCCAGGCAGAACGAATGGTTCAATATTTAAAAAAATCTTTGAATTTAATAACCCACGGTGATATTTCAACGCGTTTGCAAAGAGTCTTACTAAAACAGCACAGTACCCCTCATACCACAACTGGCAAAACTCCGGCTGAACTATTAATGGGACGACGAATTCGAACGTTGCTGGATCTGCTGCACCCTGATGATCATAAGTTAGAACAGCGCCCGTATGTGGCCTCTGGTCGGGTAAGACTGTTCGATGTTGGAGATCCCGTTTATTTCCGTAATTACGCTGCGGGCCCATTGTGGCTAGCAGGAAAAGTTATAGAAGTCACGGGACCAGTCTCGTATGTAGTACAATCTACTGATATGCGAATCGGGCGACGACATGTCGACCAAATTAAACGCCGCGTGGTAGCCCCTACTGAGCCGTTGTTGCCACATGAAGAAAAGAGGCACGACTCTCGAGACGCAGATATCCCTGTAAACTGCTCACAGCCGCCATCGACACCGTTACCATCTCTACCAGCCCAAGCTTCAATTGAGGCAAGCAATTCCTGCTCGCCACTACCAGAGACCAAAGAAGCCCACTCATCGATCCCCAATCTTGAATCAAAGACGTCACCACAGCAGAGCAGCAAGGCAAATACAGTTACGCGATCGGGCCGCCATGTGAGACCACCACGACGTTTTGAACCATGCTAAATGGGAAGGAGTGTAGTATACGACGAGGCACCCTGTAATGACAATATCTGAAGCAACCCTAAAAGAAAACAGCATATGACGTTGACAGGTGCGCACGTGCATCAGACGAGACTAAGCGACAAAAGAATAAAGAGAGAGAAATTTTCACACTGCATATTTCTCGTGTTTTATTATATTTAATCTTCAGTCGAAAACGTAACAGCTTCTAAGAAGAATTCGAAAAGCTGCCCGCCTGTTGTTCAAAATACTTTTACTGCGCCTGATAACGGCGACGCTAATGCTAATGGTGCTGGGTTTTTAAATTCATGCGATCCTGTTCCTACGTTTGGTTTGCTCACATCGCAGCTGCCTTCAAACGCTGTTACACAGCATTCTACGGATGTTGCTGAAATATATGGGTGGAAAGCGGTACGCATCAAGAAATCAAATATATATAAAAATATTGTTGTGGGCAGTAATACTAAATGCGACCTCGACGTTGTAATTAAAAAGAAATGGTTACACATCTCTTCGTTCAAACCATCCGTGACTGAAGATAAAATAATTTCATATGTTGCTAATCAGTCAGGCGTTGACAGTCAACACCTGGCTTGCTACAAGCTGGTGAAAAAAGGTGATTCTGGCCGACTAAGATAATCGTCAGACCGTTCCGGTTTTTTCAAAAACTGGATGGTGTTCTTATAGCGGCTAAACGGAGATTCAAAGTGTCACCAGTAACGCTCGCCAATTCTGACTCGCTCCTTGATCAGCTTTGCGTCTGTGTTCACGGTTCCTCCGGCCATATTCTTTACATATGTGCGTCATACATCTCGCCGAACAGTTCTGAAAGCCTTTACGTTGCACATGCTGATAACATCGTATCATTGGCGTCTGATGTCGTTGGTATAATCACATTTGTGTTGTCGATTTCAACTGTAGCCGGTTGAATTGGATTTCAAGTGGTCATTCTGCCGCTCTTACAGTTCAAACGTGAATTTATGTCGTTGATAGCTTTTTAAGTATTGGTTTACAGCAAATTCACAGTATTTTTAACCAACTAAATGGACTATTGGATCTTGTATTTATCAGAATGTATGTCTTCCATCTCTCCGACTGTAATGCATCATGCCCCTCTCACTCTTGAGTTGGAGTTTTATAACTTTGATTCATTGCCGGATGATACAGTATTAAGTTTAACTATAAAGCGTGTGATTTTTCTTCCTTAAATGGTGCCCTATCAAATATAGATTGCACTTGTAGGATTAAAATATGTTATATATGGGCAAATCTAAAAAATAGGTACACTTTCAAACAAAAAATTTTAATTTTTAAATTTGTGAGCACACCTATGTTTTATATATCATTTTATTCGTAATCTCTTAATAAATCTATTAATATAAGTGTAATTCATATTCATCAAGTGCTTCAAAAGTTAGACGAGGAATAAGCATGAAATAGAAAACAAAAGAATAAGCTGGGTTGAAATTACGCTGTTCAAGTTGTAAACTTTGAGGAAAGATTTTGAAAGTTAATTGGGATGTTCTAAATTCAATGGCATGCCCTGTTTTACCAGATTGGCTCCGGTTTTCGAGATAACGGTACTTGAACATTTGTTTAAATTTTAACTATTTTATAAATAACCCTCAATTTTGAAGTTAATTTACTAAAATTTTGCACATAACAGTTTTTTAATATTACCTTAATTATTCCTTAAAATTATCGAAATAGGTTAACATTAACATATAGCTCC